TAGTCGTACTAGTAGTTGTAGTAGTAGTAGTAGTAGTAGTAGTAGTAGTAGTAGTGGTAGTAGTAGTAGTAGTAGTAGTAGTAGTGGCAGTGGTAGTGGTAGTAGTAGTGGTCGTATTAGCAGCAGTAGTAGTAATAATAATATTAGCAGCAGCGGTAGTAGTAGTAGTAGTAGTAGTAGTCGTAGTAGTAGTAGCAGTAGTAGTGGTAGAAGTAGTCGTCGTAGCAGTAGTAGTAGTAATAGTAGTAAAAGTATTAGAAGTAGTAGTCGTCGTCGTAGTAGTACTAGTAGTAGCAGTAGTCGTAGCAGTAGTAGTAGCAGTAGTAGTAGTGGTGGTGGTTTCCCGTGGTAGTGGTAGTGGTAGTGGTAGTAGTGGTAGCAGTTGTAGTGGTAGTAGTAATGGTGTAGCAGTAGCAGTAGCAGCCGTAGTAGTAGTAGTCGTAGTAGTAGTAGTACTACTACTACTACTACTACTACTACTACTACTACTACTACTAATACTGCTATTCGTACTAGTACTAGTACTGCTACTGCTGCTACTACTACTACTACTACTACGGGTACGACTACGACTACGACTACGACTACGATTACGACTACGACGACTACTACTACTACTACCACTACTACTACTACTACTACTACTTCTACTAACAGTCGTAATAAGTTGCTTAGTCGTGTTGTTGATGTTCTTATTCCTCATCTTCTTCCTCCACATCCTTTTCCTCCTCCTCCGCCTCCTCTGCCTCATCATGTTCCTCTGTTTCCTCCTCATCCTCCTCCTCTTCCTCGTCCTCCTCCTCATCCTCCTCCTCCTCGTTGTCCTCCTCCTCCTCCGTTTCCTCCTCCTTGCCCGCCTCCTCCTCCTCATCCTCATCATCCGCCTCCTCTTCCTCCTCCGCCTCCTCCTCCTGTTCCTCCTCCTCCTCATCATCCTCCTCCCCCCCCTCTCCTTCCCCCTCCCCTCTGACCCTCCCCCTCCCCCTCCTCCTCCTCCTCCTCCTCCTCATCCCCCTCCTCCTCCTTATCCTCCTCCACCCCTTTTCCGTATAGATAACGTCTCCCTGCCGCACCCCCAGGCCAGTTGTTTGGGGCGGTCCTGGCGTGCCGCCTGAGAATTCCTCACCGTGTATGACTCTGTATCTTAAAAGTTGGCAGCAGCTTCACAGACGGAGGGCGGGTGGTTCTCAAACTGTGGTTCTCGCTCTAGCGCGGCGCACATTCGTTTTCAAACGCTGCAGGAGCTTCACGGAGTGAGGGCGGCTCCTTTTCAACATGTGGCTCTCGCCTTAGCGCGGCGCACATTCTTTTGAACAAGCTGCAAGTGCTTCACGGATTGAGGGCGATTCCTTTTCAACATGTGGCTCTTGCCTTCGCGCGGCGCACCTTCGCTTTACAGCGCTGCAAGAGTTTCACGGATTGAGGGCGGATCTGTTTCAAAATGTGGCTTTCGCCTTAGCGCGGCGCACATTCGTTGTTCAAGATCTGCAAGAGTGTCAAGGATTCCCATGATCAATGTGCCAAAATTTGCGTTTTGAAAGGATTCAGGATTATATTGGTGCAGCAGCTATGCTGGCACAATTCAGGACCGTCAAGGCGCAACAGTCACGTTCATCCGTGGCGTTGGAACCCCGAGAACAAAGCGTTGCTATGCTTCAGGGTCTTCAAACGGTTGTCTTCGAACGAGGCAGCTCCCCCAATGGAGATGAACCGTTGCAGGGGCCTATGAAGAGGGAGCTTGGAGGGAGGGTTGATTACAACATCGTTCATGATTCTTGGGTTTACGCTGGTCCTACTCCTCCGCCTCCTCCCTTTTTTTCTCCTCCTCCTCCGCCTCCTCCGCCTCCTCCTCCTCTTCCTCCTCCTCATCCTCCTCCTCATCCGCCTCCCCCTCCTACATCTCCCCCCCCTCCTCCCTCACTCCCGTCTTCCCGAGCGGCAGCAGAGCGTAGCAAGCCCCCGCGCGCCCGCGAAAGCAGCAAAGCAACACGAACGGGGGTAGCCGCCACGGCTGCAGCGGCGGGCTTTGTGACGTCCCAGCTCCGACAGCGCGGCGGGGCCCGAGGATGCCCAACGGGCTCCGAACCGGCAGGAAGGTCGAGGAAGGGTCGGAGGATCGAGGGGGGAGGATCGACGGGGAGGAGGATCGAACAGGAAATGGGAGGATCGAGGAGGGGATATGGCCGAGAGTGGCCGAGCAGGAGTTCCCAGAAGAGGGCAGGAGCAGGAGGATCGAGAATCGGTGACCGAAATCTAAAGCATTATCAGCGCGTCGTTGATGAGTCTTGCATTTACACTGGTCATCCTCCTCCTCCTGATCCTCCTCCTCCTCGTCCTCATCCTTCTCCTCCTCCTCCTCCTCCTCCTCCTCCTCCTCCTCCCACTCCCTCCTCCCTCCTCCCTCCTCCCTCCTCCCTCCTCCCTCCTCCCTCCCTCCTCCTCCTCCCTCCTCCCTCCTCCCTCCTCCTCCTTCTCCAGCAGCAGCATCATCATCATCATCATCATCATCATCATCATCATCATCATCATCATGTTCAGCAGCAGCATCAGCATCATCATCAGCATCAGCATCAGCATCATCATCATCATCATCATCATCATCATCATCATCATCATCATCATCATCATCATCATCATCATCATCATCTTCATATTATTCATCTTCATCAGCATCAACATCAGCAGCATCATCAGCATCATCACCATCAGCAGCATCGTCATCATCATCATCATCATCATCATCCTCATCGTCATCATCATCATCAGCATCCTCACCAGCATCCTCATCATCATCAACAGCATCATCACCATCAGCATCAGCATCATCATCAGCAACATCATCACCAGCATCAGCATCAACAACATAATCATAGTCAACAACCTCATCATCACCAGCATCATCCTCGTCATCGTCATCATCATCACCATCATCATCATCATCATCATCGTCATCGTCATCGTCATCACCATCACCACCATCATCATCAGCATCAGTATCATCACCATCATCGTCGCCATCGTCATCATCATCACCATCGCTATCATCATCAGCAGCAGCAGCAGCATCAACATCAGCATCAGCATCATCAGCATCAGCATCAGCATCAGCATCGGCATCAGCATCAACATCAGCATCAGCATGAGTATCAGCATCGTCATTATCATCATCATCACCATCTACATCAGCATCAGCACCAGCATCAGCATCATCATCAGCATCGGCATCAGCATCAGCATCAGCATCAGCACCAGCATCATCAGCACCATCATCATCACTATCATCATCATAATCAGCATCATCATCAGCATCAGCATCAGCATCAGCAGCATCATCATCATCATCATCATCATCATCATCCCCATCCTCATTTTAATCATTCTCATCATCATCGTAATCGTCATCGTCATCGTCATCGTCATCATCATCATCATCATCATCATCATCATCATCATCATCATCCCCATCCTCATCCTCATCCTCATCCTCATTTTCCTCCTCCTTCCTCCTTCCTCCTTCCTCCTCCCCCTCCCCTGCGGTGCCAGGCCTCGCGGAGGCCGTCGGGAAGCACTCTGGGGGCCCTGAGAGACCTCTGGGCACCCCTGTTGGCCTCTGCTCGCCTTCTGAGGTGAAGGCCTCATGGATGGGGCTTGTAGTCCATGGGGTCGGAGGGTCGCGAAGCACCGCCGATGCATCGGCGATACATCGGCGGAATCGGTATGCAAAACAACGAGCTCCAAGTCCTGCCTTCCGGTCCAGACAGAACTCCGGGACAAAGTCGGACCAGGACAGATCAGTGATCTCTGAGATCCCGCGGTTCTGGAGGGGTGCCCCATGGCCCATGTGAATCGATCTGACCTGAGAAGTGCTGCACAGAGGTGGAGAGCACAGGCGCCTGCGCGGCGCTGTTGTTTTGCTGCCACGGCGCAGGACGTGAGGATGCTACAGTGGGGGTCCATGCCAAGGAGGAATACCCTGCTTGCCTCAAGGGTGCCCTGGGTTTCTTGGGTTTCGATGGTTTTGATGTGGGAGGCGCGACGTCCCCACACCAAACATCAAAGGACGTCCTGGGGTCTCAGGGCTGGGCTTCTTATGGAAGGTTCCTTGTGGACCAGCCTCCGCTGTACAGAAAGCAGCGATAACGAAAGTACCCGCAGTCCCCGGGCCTCCACGGCTCCCTCCTGCGGGCTCGCGAAGGAGCGGTAGTGGACGCTGCCCTCTCCGAACTAGTTGTTCTCCTTAGCCTATTTACTCCTCGTCGGCTTTCCTCCCTACCCTCCTGTTCCTCCTCGTCCTCATCATCGTGCGGAGAAGCCCGAGGGCCCCAAAGCCCTCGCCCTCAGGCCCCCGTTGGTTCCTTGAGTATGCTGTCTGAGGGGCTCAGTCAAGCGAGGTAGAAGAAAAAAAGAAGGGAGGAGAAAGAGGAGTAGGAGGAGGAGAATGAGAAACCCTTTACTCTGTGTCCCTCAACAATTCTGGGGGTACCTGTAGTCCGGGGAGGCTGCAGGTCTGGGAGAAGGGTACCTGTAGTCCAGCGGGAAGTACTCATAATCCAGGGCGGGGTGCCAGTAGTCTGGGGAGGGGGATGGGGGAGGGGGCACTTGCCGCATGGAGAAGTGGCCTGTCGCGCGAGCGCGGGTGGTCCGGGGAGTACCTGTAGTCCAGGGGGGTACGTACCAATAGTCCAGGGCGGGGTACCAACAGCTTGGGGGAAGGGAGCCAATGGTTTGGGTCGGGGACCAATAGTTATGGGGGCACCTGTAACCTAGAGATCCAGAACTCTTGAAGGACACAAATTTTTGCTGCCCCAGTAACTGGAGCCCCTGAAACGGCATAGCAGCTAGCATGATGGGTCTGTTTTCCACCACCACCACCATAAGTTGAAGGGGGGAAGGAGGTGAAGGACGAGGAGGAGGACGAGGAGGAGGAGGAGGACGAGGAGGAGGACCCCCTCGCCCTCAAATTCATGGTGGTGGTGGTGGAAAACAGGCCATCATAGCAGAGTCCCTCATGACCCCACTGGTCCCCGGCAGGGGGGGGGATGAGCAGACGGCCGGAGCGGTCCGCCCGCGACCCGCGCCGCATCCTCGGGCGCCGCCGCCAAAGAGCGGTGAGACCTCAGCCGAGCAGCCTGGCGTGTGATGGTTAGTCGGCGGCGCGCAGCAAGAGGGCAGAAGGAGGACGATCGAGGATCAAGTCGATTGGACGTCTGGTGGCTCCCCGAACCTCCTCCTCCTCGTCGTCGTCCTCGTCCTCCTCGTCGTCCTCCTCCTCCTCATCCTCCTCTTCCTCTTCCTCCTCCGTTTCCCCCCACCTCCCCCTGCCTCCTCTTCCCGTTCCTTCCCATTCCTCCTCCTCCTCCTCCTCCTCCACCTCCTCCTCCTGTTCCTCCTCCTCCTGTTTTTCCTCCTCCTCCTCTTTTTCCTCTTTTTCCTCCTCCTCCTTCTCCTCTTCCTCCTCCTCCTCCTCCTCCTCCTTGTCCTCCTCCTCCTCCTCTTTCCCCGCTTCCTCCTCCGCATCTGGAAGCCTCTGTTGACCCTTGGGGATATCCGGGGGCCGCCGACAAACCTCCTCGAGGTTTCTCGAGAGGCAGACGTCTGGAGACCTCCAAACGTGGAGGGGCCGACCTTTTACGATGGTGGCGCCCTACATGGGGCCAGAGCCACAAGGTTCCAAAGATCGCGCTGTATCGTCGATGCATCGACGGTGCATCTGCCATGTCGGCATCGGGCGCTACAGGCCAGGACGGGGGGGTGGGGGGGGAAGACGCACCTTCTCCGCCCACCTTCGGGCCTGTTGGGGGGGGCCCCGTTGCGCCCCTATGTCGGGCCCCACTCGCGCAACCCTCGATCCCCCCCCCACACTTCCATCGCCCCCCCGTTACGAGACGCCCGACGGTGCGAAGAATATCGGGTTCCGGATCGCGCCGTATTGCTGATGCCCTGGCGATGCGCCGTGGTTTGCGGGCCCATCCAGCTACTCGGGCCCCGTGCTCGCAGGCCCGCCCCCGCCTTTCCAGAAGGTGGCAGGGGGGGCAACCTCGCTTCTCGGCACCCTTACTCGGGGATGGACAAAACCCACTTTAGCAAAACGTGGTTCAATGAAAACGACCTCAGGCCCAAATCTGGCGGGCGCAAGCCTGGAAAATGACGGCCGCGGCGCCCTCTCGAGAGTGAGTGATAAGGATACAGGGCTTGACCATGAGGTAGTAAGCGGGAACCCTACCGTTGGGATAACGTCGGCGACGCATGGAGGCATCCCACAACTGATCCCTGACTGGCAAGCAAGATGAAAGGCAAGAGAGAAGCCATGGGAATGGGAGATGGATAGTAGAAGGACGTGGCGTTTGTCCGTTGCTACGATACCAACTAAGGCGCGCAGAGTCGCGCGCACCCAGCGCATGCTGCTTTGAGCCAAGACAGCGTCGGATATTGAATTCGCTATACAACCTCTCCTTAAACCTCGTTGAAAGTCGGGAGGGGAGGGGCCGAACGCTAGATCCTTGTCTTAATAAATTACATCAGGTAATGCAGAAGGATGGGGGATATTGTTCTTCAGCACCCCGAGCAGTGCGCAAGCAAGTAAGAGAAAGACCGCACAGAGCACTTGGGCCGGTCATGCCACATTGCCACGACCAGCCACATATAATTATGGATGGCCACGGGCAAGACCGCGCAATCACCCGTAGGTGGTTATAAGGGGCGCGCGCCCGCTCGTCTTCGGGCTTCTGCGCGAGCTGCATGATGCACTTGGTCGGCACAATTTCATCGAAACCGCCCGTCAAGAAGATGTCGCGGGCAGAACGCCCATACCTTGGCTCCGTCTTGTAATGGGCGCGGGGTAGATATGAATATGACTAGATTAGAATCGGCCCCAAGGCCCAACCGGATCCTGGGGTGTCCTGGCAGACGCGGGCATCCACGCACACGTTGCCAACCGCGCCCTCCTCGCGGGTGGTGCTTTGCGCAACAGGACAGCCCATGCTGAATGACGCCCTGTGCGCATTCTCGCTTGGTTCCATGCATGAAGAACCTCGGGGATTCATGGCCGCCTAAAGCTGCCGCTGGAGTGTGCAACGGTTCTGAACACAGGATGCCAGGAGGCGACTGTCCGTTGGCGGCTCTGTTGCACAGCGCCGACACATCCTCGTCATCGCGCGTGCACTTTAGCTGGGGGCGTCCTAGTGCAGCGCCCGAACAGTCCGTCACATCGGCGATGTAAAGCAGTAGTCATGTCACATATTTGGGTGGTGGGCCAAGCATCCACATGGCGACTGCTTCGTACTGAGGACCACCACAAACGTGGGTCAGAACATCTGCGCCCGCTACCCATCAATCGCAAGGGCCCCAGGACCGACGATCCCGCATGAACTGCTTACTGCAAGCATTGCGAAGAAATGGCCTACGCCTGCAAGGGCGAGACCACCACGCAGACATAGCGGCAATTTCGCCTTTATGTGGTAAAGGATGGCAATGATAACTGTTCCTCTGCATTAGGCTCAGGAGCCCACGCTGCGAAACTTGCTGCGCAACCTTTCTTGCGCTGTTTCGGCGGCGAGCTGCGTCGGCGCAGCAGATGGGCCAAGACCGTTGTATGTGTTGGGCGCGTCCGCCCCTTCTTGGCTCGGAGGTCCCACGGGCGCGCCCGCGCCGGCTGGGGCGCCGATGCCATCCTGCTTAGTGGGCGTAGCCCTTGACCTTGGCGCAAGTCGCACGGTCGGCAGCGACTGGGCTGATGACGAGGCCGCGGCCGACGACCCGGCAGACCCCGCAGCAGGTGGCCCACCCTGGAACGTCGCCTGAGCGGCGCTTTTCAACGTCGCCCTTTCTTCGCTGATGGCTGAGGAGCTTCCACTTGGAAACCCCCCGGCTAAGGCCGTGGCCGAAGGCCGACTGGTAGTGGTTGCGGCAATTCGCCAGCGCCCCGGCTCTGCACTTGGTCTTCGGAGGCAAATCTCTTGTAGCTTCAAGTTTTCTCATCCTTGCCCGTGGCCGAGCTCGAACCTCTCTGGCCTGCAGCCGATAGTCTCGGTGCCCAAACCCCATCGAAGGGCCGGTTCCGCCTGCGACTCCGCGGACCTCTTTGTGACCAGCTGATCAGGCATGGGCGTCGAGCTGCCTTTGAAGCGTTCAGCTTTCTTCTTGGCGCTGCCTTCGCGCCTGGTAGAGCCGCGCGCGTCCTTGTTCTCCTCCCCGTTATTGTCCTTGTCTACGAACTCGGGGGATTCCTCTAGATCCACCTCTCGGTCTGGGCGCAGCTTCTCCTCGGCGGCAGCGTCGCCCTGGGCCTCCTGGGCGCGCGCGCCCGCTTCCTCGTCGGAGTCGCTGTCACTCTGGGTGCATCTGCCCGGCGGCTCGGCAGGCGACGTCGGCGCGAGAGACCGCTCGCCCTGCCCCCCCCCCCCCCCACCCCCACCCACACGCCCCCCCCCCCCCCCCACACACACGCACACACACACACACACACACACACACACACACCCACACACACACACACACGCACTCCCTTCTCCCCATCTGCCGCCTGAGTCGATCCTGGAGGGGGCGCACGGGCCTTGGCACTAGAACGACCAAAGATCTGACCTGTCGCGCTGAATTTTCAGAGCGCTGTCGCCGCTGTCGTCATTGTCGTCAGCGGGGTGATAATCAGGACGTCGAATGCGCCAGTCCGCGTCGTAGATCTTACGGATGTGATCATTTGCCAGATCTTGATATGTTTCTTATACTTATTGAGCTTCCGTGTCGGTCAATGTGATACAATCCCCCGTGGACGCGGCCGCCCCTCCGGCTTTCCCAGAACCGCGATCGGGGGCCCAAGGCGTCGCGCTATGATGAGGGCTGCGAGATAGGCGGTCATTCGGGCAATTGCCGCGATGCTGACTGCGAGCTGGGCAGGGGCACATGCGGTATATCTTGCGTTGCCTAAACACATCTCGCTTATATGTCCGCTTTCCGTCGCTCTTTTGACGGCGTAGACCCTTCCATCACGAATGGCAGAATGCTCTAAAGACCGCCGATGACGCATCCGGGTCTCTGCAAAGCCCTGCTCGAGGAATCAATTCACATCAGACTCGCCGATTCGCCGATCTCCGCGCGGGGGCCCCGGTCATCGCACGAGAAAAAAGCGCGCCCCTCACCTGGGGAGGCGCCCCCCCTTCCCCAGCCTTTATCGCTGGAGCTCGCGCCGCGCGCGGGCTCGGCCGACTCGGCCCGGGCTCGGCTCGGCTGCCCGTCGCGCGGCCGGCACCTCGAGAATGACCGCGGCCAGGGCCGCCCGTGTCCAGGCTGCATTTTACAGCTCTACCTGATCCACCTGCTGCGCGGCGGCCCGCTGAGCCGCGGCCCCGGCGACCGCCCCCCTCGTCGCCGACGCGGGGGCCGTCAGAGCCGATTGGGGCCTTCCCAGACTTCCCCCGCATCGCAAATGCATCGGCGCGGGCCTGGCCCCACCCCGCAGCAGCCCGCTCCTCCATCGCGAGTTCGAACGCGGTCGGGGCCGGGGGCGGGCGTTGGCGATTCTGATCGTGTCCGAGCTCTTCTGTTATTTCAGCACCAGAGGCAGGTATGGTCTCCGCGTTGGACACGCAGTCGTCCTCGCCGTCATATTCGGGATCTGCCTGCACGTGTCCGTGCCAACGCGTGCCGACCCAATCCTCGATGGGGGTATCGTAGAGCTCCTCGACCCAGTCGTGGAGGTACTCCGTGCACCGTTCTACAGACACGGCGGCGCTGGCGAAATGGGTCATCAAAAACCAAGCAGATCTTGTTTGAGAGGAAATGGGGTGGTCGCGTTCGGGGGAAATCAACGCACTCGATGATATCCACGTCGGACTGACCAGAACCAAGGAGCACGGATCCGCCCCCCGATCCACCTCCCTTGGAACACACCCCTTGGACATGTTTGTCGTTCCCGCAGGTGTTGCATGTCATCCCCTTTCCATCCTCACCCATCGGATTAGGCCTGCATCACATGCCCGTGCCTGTTGTGTGCCTGCGACCTTTGCCTCTGCCTTTGCCTCCTAGAAATAGGTCTTCGAAGTCGTAGTCGGTCAATCGAGCCATGAACGTGGCTATGCCTTTGCCATGCAATCTGCGGGTGCGTCTACCACAGTCGCCGCGGCCCTTCCCTTTGCGGAAGCAGAGACGACGCGATGCTCGCCTGAATATCATATTTGTTCGTAAACTCCACCCTGTTTCGGCGCGATGATATCCTAGGAACATGCATCGCGCAGCTGCATCATCGCCGGCAGGCAGGCCTGACTCTTCGAGGTTTTCGGCGCCGGCAGAAGAGACCGCATCGGCATCCGTGCCGGAATCGATTACATCGTCGTCCCGTTGGCTGGGCGAGCCCCAAAGGGCAGTCGCTGCAGGTGGCGCGTAGCTGGCTGCTGACGGCCAGCCCGCGTTTGAGCCAGACGCCTGTTCATTGTTGTTGTTGGCGTCTTGGCCTAGAAGCGTCATGGACACACTGGGCTCTGCCATTCCAGATGCTGTTCGGCATGGCTGCCAGTGCGTCGCTGATTCCTGCGCGGTAAGTGCCAGCGTTGCATTCGCTGTTCCCTGGGGAACGCTCAGCCCAGTGCCCATGACTGCGCATTCGCTCCAAGAGTTGGTCGCACTGTTGCTGAATGCGGGGCATCTGGTGGTTGAGCGGTTGCAGCAGCTGCGCTGCTCGGGAAGCACCACCCCCCAAGGCACGGAAAAATATCAGAGTAAGGATTTGGAAGTTGGGAATGTTAAAGCCTGCCGAGTCTTCCTCCAGCCTAGCCATCTCAAATCGGGCACGTACTGAGTCAATGCGTTCGCCTCTCTCGACCCTGAAGTCGATGAGGACTGTCCCCAAGATGAGCTGTCGCTCGTCCTCAAAGTTTTCACATGTGGTGCTCAATTAGTACATGATGTATGTGATTCCGTCGGCGCGTCTCCCCTGTGGTGTGACATCATAGTTGCTGATGTTGGACGGCACCCTCATGGCCAGTGTCCGTCCTAGCCAATCCTCCTGGACCGCGCTTCAAGGCTGCGGCCTGTTGAGGTGATGTCCTGTTTCCGTTTGTGGCGTTAAGCCATGTGTGTGTTTCGCGAACAAAGTCGCCGAAGGGTGCGCTGCCTGCGGGATCCCAGAAGGGACCCCGAGTGCGTATTTCATCCAGTCTTCCTCCTCGCATGTATGCCACGGCAAAGCCTGGGCACACCCAGATAATTCCAAACATGGCATCCTTAACATAGTGAGTAGTCATGTTGTCGCTGATGGTGTTAGGTGGCTTATCATTGGATGTTGTCGCGTCCGTAGGGTTGCAACTAGGTGCCTGGTCTGACATGGCCGTCAACTTGCGAATGGATATCGGTGTTTGGGTTGTGCGTGGCGTGTGGCCGCGCGGTGAGGAGATGGAGGTATAGGACTGTAAGTTACCAGTTGGTTCGAGAGTATCGGGAATGTAGTGGCTGAGAGCCGGCGCAGTCGGGTACTCCACTGTGCCGGGGTAAGTTGTTATGTACATAACACCTGATGTAAAAGCCAGCCACATGAAGATGCAGCCAGCTCCGCTACCAAGCGGAAAAGGAAGGCTACAGGGCTTGACCATGAAGTAATAAGCGGAAAACCATACTCTGAGGATAACGTCGGCGACGTCTCGAGGTATCCCACAGCTCATTCTCTGATGGCAAGCAAGACGAAACAGGCAAGTGAAAAACCGTGGAAATGGGAGATGGATCATAGAAGGGCGTGGCCTCTGTCCGTTGCGATGATACCAATTGTGGCGCACATAGTCGTGTGCACATAGCATATAGGACAGCGCTGCCTTGAGCCAAGACAGCGTCGGATATAGCGTTCGCTGTACAGCCTCTCCTTAAACCTCGTTTAAAGTTCGAGAACCGAAAACGGACAGTTCACTAATTGACGTGTCAAGATGGGGCTTCTGTCCACCAGACTTGCACCAGAAATTCACGATCGTACACCTCGCTGTAAGAGATCGTGGGCCAATTCTTCGTCGATCCTCTAGGGGTCTGCGATGCCCCAGGGCTCATGTGGGTGTCTGGGGCCATCGGGGACAATGAATGTTCCGCGGGGCACCTGCTGGCAGGCCGATTCCTTACAGCGGAGGCCAGTCTACAAGAAGCCCTCCACAAGAAGCCCAACCCTGAGACCCCAGGACGTCCATTGATCTCTGGTGCGGGAACGTCACGCCTTCCATAGCAAAACCACCAAAAAACAAGAAGCCCAGGGCACCCTGGAGGCAAGCAGGGTGCTCCTTGGCATGGGTCGCCTCTGTACCTGATGTGCCGGCCACGCTTCTCTCCAGAATGCGTGCAGACGGCACTGCACTCGGGGGCGGGCGGCCGCTCCCGAGAAGCCCCCCCCGCGCCGCCGTCGAGGGCCGCCCCCTCTCGCCCGAGCCGATGCAACGCGCCGCCAACCGGAGAGACGACGCGCGGGAGCATCGGGCGGGTGGCACAGTCAACCCGTATCATAAGGACGCACGATAAGGATGCAAGAGCCTTGGGAGGCCATCTCGAAGCTTTTCGAGCGGGGCGCGGCCAACGAAAGTGGCCAGGGATGGACCGAGGAGGGAAGGATGCAAAGGTACCCTTGGGAAGGTCGCCCATCCTTACCGTGCGGGTCGACTGTAAGGGGGGGTGACCTGTGTGGGGGGGGCGGAGAGAAGGGCCCCAAAGGGGCCCTTTAGGCCCCCCTTGCTGGGGAGCCCCCGCTGGCTCCGACCGGGGGCCCACGGGGCCCCACGTGGGGCCCTCGTCTTCACCCCCCGCTTGGGGTCATCCCCCATATGACCACCCGCCCGAGAGGAGGGGGGAGACGCCCAGACCTCCCTCGTCGCGACGTGCATGCTTTGCTCTGGCTCGCAGAGGCACGGCACACGGTGGGGAGACGTCACGCTGGGTCGGAAGCTCCGGGGCCCACGTCGTGAGAAAGGCGCGTCGTCGAGGGTCTGGGGACATCGATGAGGAGAACAAGCAAAGACGTAAACAGAAAGACTCGGAGGTCCGCGCGGATTGCTCGGATCGACGCTGGACCCCCCCTCCCTGGCGCGCGGAGCGCGCCAGGGGCGGCGCCGGTGGCGCCGCCAGGGGGGTTCCAGCGCTAATACGAGAAACCAGCGCGGACCTCCGAGTTTTAATGTTTATGTCATTGCTCGTTCCCCTAATCGAAGCTGGATGGCCGACCAGGGAGACTGCTTCGCAGTGCAGCACGGGCGGCGGAGGAGGAGGAGAAGCCTCGGCGGTTGCCGACGGCGTCCCGGGCCCGAGGTGTCCCCAGCTACTCGCTCCGTGCCGAAGCCTCCGGGCCCTCTGGGCCTCGTGCGGGGTGCTCGGGTGCTCTGGAGGCCGTAGGGCCTCACTGGAAGACCTGGGGGCACCTAGGGCCAGGGACACTTTTTGGCAGCACCCGGGAGGACAGGCATGAGAGAAAAAACGGCGCCTCACAGAGGGGCGCAGGCCCGACACAGCTCGAGAGGGCACCGTACGACCCGGCCGCGGCAAGGCAGATGTGATGTCCGCTGCCAACGCTTGAGGAGAAGGGCTGGCAGGACGAGGTGGAACTCCACTTGTGCAAGCTCGACCCCTACCGCTGCGCAAGCTGATGCCCCGTTGTGCCACGTGTCGTAACATAAGATACCAGCTTCACGTGTGGAAGCTTCCCCGTCGCTGCGCTAATCGGCAAGAGGGGAGGAGGGGGAGGAGGCAGAGAGAGAGAGAGAAGGAGAGGAGCTCGAGGGAGAGAAGGGGAGGAGGGGGGACGGAGATGGAAGTGTCAGAGGGATGGGAGGGCGGGATTGGACAAGGGGACTATCACGGAGGAGGGAGAGGGAGACGAAACGGGGAGGGGAGCGGTGACGGACATGGAAGGGAAAGGAGAGGGGAAAGGGGAGATGGGCAACCCAGGCGCGCACGCGGTACATCTGACATCCTACCCCTCCGTCCCGTTCCCCCGTCCTTCCCATTTCGCCCAGTAGCTTCTACTCGTCGAGGGTGCTTCATTTCTACGGCATTGGCAGTGCGTGGCCTGCCGCCCGCTGCGCAGTGACCGCGACGGGGCCAGGCGAGGCTAGAAGGGCAGAGGATGGCCGGGCGATCCCCGTGCGAAGAGCCGACGAGCACAATCGAACGGAGCCGTGGAAACCGATGATCGTGACGATAATGGTGGTGGTGATGCTGCTGATGGTGATGATGAAGACGATGCTGATGGTGGTGGTGGTGATGGTGGTGATGGTGATGGGGATGGTGATGGTGATGGTGATGATGATGATGATGACGACGGCAGCGAGGAGAATGATGATGATGATGATGATGATGATGATGATGATGATGATGATGATGATGATGATGATGATGATGATGATGATGATGATGATGATGATGATGATGGTGATGATGATGGTGATGATGATGGTGATGGTGATGATGATGATGGTGATGATGGATGAGGAGGATGAGAATGATGATGCTGATAATGATGATGATGATGATGATGATGATGATGATGATGATGATGATGATGATGATGATGATGATGATGATGATGATGATGATGATGATGATGATGATGATGATGGTGGTGGTGGTGGTGATGAAGAGGATGATGGTGGTGGTCAAGTGGTGATACTGACGGTGATGATGATGGTGGTGATGGTTATGATGCTGCAGGTGGTGATGAATGGTGATGGATGGCGATGTTGATGGTGATCTTGATGGTGATGTTGATGGTCATGTTGATGGTGATGGTAGTGGTGGTGATTATGGTGATGATGATCGTGGTGATGATGCTGGTAATGATGAGGGAAGAGAGGAGGGGCGAAAGAGGCACCAGCGACGACAGCGATGACGAGACCACGGGTTGGCGAAGCGCTGGCCCCGGTGCCCAGAAAAGCGCACCCCTCGAGCGCACCCTGAGGAGGGCTTTGGCGAGTGCGAGATCAGACTGACCGAGTGTAGCAGGCGCAGAGGCGACATCGCTATTCGCAACGGGCGAAAACGCAGCAAGTGGAATTATCCTGACGAAGGACGCAACCATATGCAATTGTGGGTACTGTGATTGTGAATATCTTATTCGGTGAAGCTCCCTATGGGGCCACGAAGCGCTGCACAGGGTGGGGGGGAACGCATGCGGGCGGTAGCATTGGGGCCGTCGGTGGTGCTCCACATGGGGCCACGAAACGCTGTACTGGGTGGGTGAAAACGCCAAATTGAATTTGTGGGACGCGTGCGGGCGGTCCCACTGGGGGCCTCGGTGGAGCTCCCTATGGGGCCACGAAACAGGGTACTGGGTGGGTGATAAAATGCCACATTGGGTGTGCATGCGGGCGGTCCCACTGGGGGCTTCGGTGGAGCTCCCTATCTGTACTGGGTGGGTGAAAATGCCACATTGGGTTTTCGGGACGCATGCGGACGGTCCCACTGGGGGCTTCGGTGGAGCTCCCTGTGGGGCCACGAAACGCTGTGCTGGGGGAGAAAATGCCAAATTGGGTTTTCGGGACGCATGCGGACGGTGACACTGGGGCCTTCGGTGGAGCTCCCTATGGGGCCACGAAGCGCTGTACTGGGTGGGTGAAAATGCCAAATTGGGCTTTCGGGACGTATGCGGACGGTCCCACTGGGGGCTTCGGTGGGGCTCTCTGTGAGGCCACGAGACGCTGTACTGGGTGGGTGAAAATGCCAAACTAGGTTTTCGGGGCGCATGTGGACGGTCCCACTGGGGCCTTCGGCTATGGGGCCAACGCTGTATTGGGTGGGTGGAAATGCCAAACTAGGCTTTCGGGAAGCATGCGGACGGTCCCACTGGGGTCTCGGGTAGCTCCCTCTGGGGCCACGAAACACGGTACTGTATGGGTGAAAATACATTCGGTGGGGCTCCCTATGGGGCCACGAAATATACTGGGTGTGCGGGACGCATGCGGACGATAGCCCTTTGGTGGAGCTCCCCATGGGGCCACGAAACGCTGTACTGGGTGTGCGGGACGCATGCGGACGGTGACACTGGGACCTTCGGTGGGGCTCCCTGTGGGGCCACGGAACGCTGTACTGGGTCGGTGAAACGCAGGAACGCAAGCAGGGAGGAGGGGGCCACAAAACGCTGTACTGGGTGTGCGGGACGCATGCGGACGGTAGCGCTGGCACCTTCGGTGGGGTTCCCTATGGGTCCACGAAACGCTGTACTGGGTTGGTGACCCGCAGGGAGGAGGGAGGAGGGGGCCACGAAACGCTGTACTGGGTGTACGGGACGCATGCGGACGGTAGCACTGGGACCTTTCGGTGGGGCTCCCTATGGAGCCACGAAACGCTGTACTGGATGTGCGGGACGCATGCGGACGGTAGGGAGGAGGGGGAGGAAGAGTAGAGGAGAGGAGCGCGGGGCACCGTCTCTTCAAAACGAGGACCCAACATCACAGGATGGTTGGGAAATTCCCCTGGCGACGTACCCAATCCCTGCGCAATGCGGAACACGAGTAGCCTGGGACACGTTATACAGAAGTGCTGACGTGACATGGGCGCATATTCGCTGGCCCAACGGGCCAGAGGCGTGCTAAGATCTCCGGCAACTGTATTCTACTTCGCGCGCGTGGGGCGGCCCTTGGGGGTCTCCGGCGAAGAGTACCCCGGCAGCAAGGTCCCGGCAAGGTCCCGGCAGGTCCGGGTCAGAGATGCCGGACCGGGCAATTTTTCGACACCCCTCACGAGGATCGTGGCCTCCGAAAGGGGAACCGCAATCGATTACCCCCCCTCCCGCCCCAAGAGGCCCCCAAGAGCCCCCCAAGAAGAATGAGCGAAACGATTGATTAATTTTGCGAGCGGCATTCGTGAAGCTCGCAGCCCCCCAAAGATGGCGAGGTCCAGCTCAGATCTGCGTGGTGCCTCCTTCCGCTGGACACGTCAGCAGCCTTCGAAAGTGGCGACAATTTCGCAGATCGCAGCCCCCCAGGGCCGGCGAGGTCTATCTCAGATCTGCGCGGTGCCTCACTCCGCTGGACCCACCAGCAGCATTCGAAAGTGGCGACAGTTCCGCAAATCGCAACCCCCAGGGACGGCGAGGTCTACCTCAGATCTGCGCGGTGCCTCACCCCGCTGGACCCACCAGCAGCCCTCAAAATTGGCGACTGTTTCGCATATCGCAACCCCCCAGGGGCGGCGAGGTCTATCTCAGATCTGCGCGGTGCCTCACCCCGCTAGACCCACCAGCAGCCGTCAAAATTGGCGACTGTTTCGCGGATCGCAGCCCCCCAGAGGCGGCGAGGTCTATCTCAGATCTGCATGGTGCCTCACTCCGTCCGTTGGACCCACCAGCAGCCTTCGAAAGTGGCGACAATTTCGCAAATCGCAGCTCCCCAGGGACGTCGAGGTTTACCTCTGATCTGCGCGGTGCCTCACTTCGCTGGACCCACCAGCAACCCTCGAAAGTGGCGACAATTTCGCAGATCGCAGCCCCCCAGGGACGGCGAGGTTTACCTCTGATCTGCGCGGTGCCTCACTCCGCTGGACCCACCAGCAGCCCTCGAAAGTGGCGACAATTTCGCAGATCGCAGCCCCCAAAGGCCGGCGAGGTCCACCTCAGATCTGCGCGTTGCCCCACTCCGCTGGACCCACCAGCAGCCCCACCACGCGCCGGCGCGTTTGATATTTTCGGGCCTGGCCGCGCCGGCGCGCTTCGCAAATCCGGGCATGGCCGAACCGGCGCGTTTTGCACGTCCGGGCCCAGCCGCGCCGACGCGTGCAAATTTGGGCCCGGCCGCGCCGGCGCGTTTTGCACATCCGGGCCCGGGCCGCGCGCAAATTTATGCCGGCCGCGCCGGCTATCGCGAACCTCGGGCCCGCCAGAGGCCCGCCCAGCCAGCCGACGGCGGGCCCGCGGCCGGGCGGGTCGCGGCGCTCCCCCCGGAGGGCCCGGGTAGCCACCCGGCGGGCCCCTGCACGGGGCACCCCGAAATTAATCAACGGAATAATTCCCCCGCTCCCGCGCAAGGTTTCAGATTCACCCATCTTTACCGCGCAGAGGCCTGGCGGGCGGGGCCCCGCCACTTGCTCGGCCCCGATCAAAAAGCTGCAACCGGCAGAAAGCGCCGCGCGCGATAGAATCCGCGGGCCGCCTTGTAGACTACAAGAAGACGCTGGCGCTGCGCTTGTTTCGAGCAGCGCGGCCCCGCGCCGTTGAACCTCAAGCAGTGCGGCGCAGCGCAGCGCGCCTGGAATGGCCGCGGCAATGATGGCTGCCATGCGACACATTCGCAGCGCGCGTCCTGATCAACCCGCAAGTTGCCATTAAAATGGTATGTTTATAATGGGAAATATTTCCTACTTGAAATTATTTTGAAACGATGTTCCGAATTAAAGATGTTCATTTCTATTTTCCCTGGATCGGAAAACTACTCTGTCATACTTTCAGCGATCCTATATTGATCCACCTGGCTGGTTGTTCTCTAAGAATTCGTTGTCACAACATGTCGCAGCCTCAACTGGGTCCCCGTGTAACTCCACTCCGCGCGACCTCCCAGGAGCCCACGATGGTAGAGACGGTTTCCCACTTCATAGCCCCACAAAGAGCCGCGAGGCCTCAGCTGGGTCCCCGTGTAACTCCGCTCCGCGCGACCCCCCAGGAGCCCACGGACAGTGGCGACAATTTCACACTTCACAGCCCCCAAGGAGCCGCGAGGTCTCAACTGGGTCCCCGTGTAACTCCACTCCGCACGACCTCCCAGGAGCCCACGAATGTGGAGACAAATTTACACTTCACAGCCCCACAGAGAGCCGCGAGGCCTCAACTGGGTCCCCGTGTAACTCCACTCCGCGCGACCTCCCAGGAGCCCACGACAGTGGCGACAAATTAACACTTCGCAGCCCCCAGGGAGCCGCGATGTCTCAACTGGGTCCCCGCGTAACTCCACTCCTCGTGACCTCCCAGGAGCCCACGGAAGTGTCGACAATTCTACACTTCAGCCCCCCAGGAAACCGCGGGGCCTCGACTGGGTCCCCGTGTATCCCCACTCCGCGCGACCTCCCAGGAGCCCACGAGAGAGGCAGAGGGTAGGAGAGAGGAGATCTGAGAAGAGGATGGAGAGGCGGAGATGAGACGCGACCACAGTGCTCTACTCAAAACGAGAGCCCAACACAAGAGGGTTGGGAATCATATTCCAATTGAGTTCGCCAGCGCAACAAGCCAAAGGTCTGCCACAATCCGATGTGCGAGGTGCTTAATCATTCGATGTACTTTACTTCGCGCCGGGCGGCCCCTGAGGGTGGCATAGGGGGGAAGTACACGGGTTAAGTCCGCAGCGGGATTCGGCGACGGCGGGACGAGTTCAAAGGCAACCATGCAAGCGACGTCCCAAAGACGATGGAGACAGCAGAAGTGGACCCAGAAAGATGAACACTGATGATAAGAAGCAATATGACGGCGGGAGGAAGCATAGACTCTGTTGGCACCCATAATGACGACTTCGAATGCAGTGAGGGCACAGCCAGACCGAATTGTGCTGTGAAAGGCCATTCAAAAGGCGCATGGTCTCACGGCTTGTGCGGCGGGATGCACAGGCCAATCGAAATGAATTTCACAAGACATAACCGAAGAGGCGCGCAGCGAAAAAATGCGCCAGAGCGCCACGCCGCGACAATGATCAGGATTGGTCAAGGGCTCAGGGGCTCCGTTCGGTCAGGCATTTGCTTTGCGACCTCTCGCTCGGGGGTCGGGGAGCAATAAGGCCCTCTCACCCCTCATCGTCCCCCACCTCCTCCCCTTCTTCATGGTCCTCCCTCTCCTACTCCTACTCATCCTCACCCTCCATCGTCCTCATTGTCCTCGTTCTCAATGTGTTCGTCCTCCTCCTCCACCTCCTCCTCTTCCTCCTCCTCCCGTCCTCGTCCTCCTCGTCATTCGTGTTCTCGACATTTCTTCATCCTCACAGCCTTTGCAGCACGAACATCTTCTCCAAACAGGGCAGCACGAGAGGAACAGCTTCCTCAAAACGCTGAAGGTGAACATGTACTGCGTCTCACTGTTCTGCTCCGCATCAATGCAGGCCTTGTGGTATGCTCGATCCTTCTCAGCGGCAGGAACCAAGTGCATGGCCCACACCGGGACAACACAAACGAGGACCGCGATGCTGAGCATCACCTCGACGAGCACTGGGTGCTCATGTTGCCACAGGTTCTTTGTAACCATATGTCGGTTGACGAACTGCACCATGTCGTGCTCGCCTCGGAACGTCGACCGTTCGAGGAGGACGACGAAGAGGTGAGGACAAGAAGGGTAACAAGAAGGACGAGACAGAGGAGGCGGGAGGAGGAGGAGGAGGATGGCAAGCAGGAGGGGGAGGAGAGGATGACAGCGAGGTGGGAAAGAAGCGAAGAGACGAAACAGATAGTGTTTCTGGTGGCGTTTAGACTTCAGGTCGCCTACTTCGAACACCGCTTCCCAGCTCAGGCCAACGAGCAGACCGAAGACACTTATCAACCCCCGAGTGGAGGTTGCAATGTGTTGCCCCACGTCGTCAACCGTTGCCACCCCTGTCCTCTTACTCTTGGAGTTGCTTCGACTTTTCGTGGTCGTAGAGGTCAGTGGCAGCTGAGCTTCCGCGTCGGAGGCGCCATCGACCGGCTTGTCCTTGGTGGGCATGCGGGGCAGCGCGACCCCCTCGGTTAGGACAAGCACGAACAGGCAACAAAGTGCAAACGAAAAGCCTCATCATGGCAATTGGATGCGATCACACAACTACGCTTTTGCGCAGCAGTCTTCGAAGACCGAACTGCGATGAAATCCTACCCGATCGGGTCACACTCAATGAAACCAACCCTAAAAAAAAACTGGAAGTGCCCCCCACACGATTGGGTCCCATACAATGCCGCCACCCGATACCCCACCCCTACCCACCCACTCACCCACCCACCCACCAATGCACCACACTCACGCACACACCACCCCTTCCCACAGACACACACACACACACTTTTGAGTCGTCGGCGCAGAGGAGCCTCAGGCGCGGTCGGCAGGTGGAGGTGCCAATTGCGAGCGAGCTCAGTCGAACGCACAATGATGGAACAGCCCAGCCATGGCCATGCAGAAGGTGGTGAGGCAAGAAAGCGAGAGGCGTTGCAAAGCCAAGGCGCAGCTGCCAAAAGACCCAGGGAACATAGGCTCGACGTGGGTAGTTTGAAGCGCAAGCAGCAGTCACACACACACACACCACAAACACACACACACCACTCACCCCACCCCGTAACAACCAGCCCACCCACCCTGCCGATAGGGCCCCACCGGATAAGGCCTCGGCAAAGGGGTGACCCACCCGATGAGAACACATCCGAGAAGGCCCGATTCGAAAGGGTACCACATGATAGGGTCCCACCCGATAAGGTCGTACCAGATGCAAGATCCCACAGGACACAGTCCCACCCAACGGGGTCTCAACCGATGAACTCACACCCGATAGGGCCCTGCTCGATAGGATCCCCCATGAAAATATCCCACCCAATCGGGGCATACCTGGTAGAACCTGATCGGACAAGAACGGAAAGCGCCACTATAGTCTAATGGGCGTATTGGGTGAAGAAGAAAAGGAAGGCGAGGGCAACGAGAAGACGATGACGAGGACGACGTGGCGAACGTGAGGATAGCGAGAAGGAGCATGAGGACAACGAGGAGGACGAGAAGCACAAGGACGAGAACGAAGAGAACGAGGGCGAGTACGAGGAGGAATGCGGAGGGCGATGACGACGACGACGACGACGACAGAGGACAGTAAGAGGCATTTGGAGAAAGACGTTGCTCCTGGCGCCGCGCGGGGTTGTTTTGGGGCCTGTTGGGGGTTCTTGGGGGCCCCTTGGGTCCTCTTATGGGCTTCTGGAGTCTTCTTCTGCTGTCTGGGCGCGTCCTGGGGTTCTGTGGGAGCTTTCTTAGGCCGTCTCGGCGCCATCTTGGGTCGTCTTGCAGCTTTCTTGGGCCGTTTGGGGGCCTCCTGGGGCGCTCCCGGGAGTCTCTTGGGGCCTTCTCGGCCCTTCTCGAGCCGTCTTGGGGTTCTTGTGAGCTGTCTGGGTGGCTCCTGGAGCGCTCTTGGGGGTCTCTTGGGGTCTTCTTGGGGCGCTCTTGGGCGCTCCTAGGCGCTCTTGGGCGCTCCTGGGGCTCTCCAGGGCGTCTTTTGGGCCTCCCTTCGGCCGTTGGAAAGCCCTCCAAGAGCGATTCGAACACGACGTCGATTCGGAGTCCCCTCTTGGGCCGATGTTTGGAGGATGTCTCAAGCAAAACGGCTATTTGCCAAAAACCTGACCGGACAAGAACGGGAAGCGACGCTTTAGTCCACCAAGCATGTGGAATATGCTGTTGTTGTTACGCCGCGCAGGTATGCCGTGGCGCGCGTGTCGGCGTGCGTGCGGGGTGTGTTTTGCTGTGCTCCTGTGTGTTCTGCCGTGCTCCTGTTCTGCCGTGCTTCTGTGTTCTGCCGTGCCTCTGTGCTCTGTGTGTTCTGCCGTGCCCCTGTATTCTGCCGTGCGGATCGTCGCGGTGGTCGTTTTGGCGGAGCTTCTGGGGGCGCACGGCAGAAAAAGACCGGGAGCACGGCAGAAGCGGCCCCAAGAGCGAAGGAGCAAGGCAGAAAAAGACCAGGAACACGGCAGAATAGACCCCAAGAGCTAAGGAGCACGGCAGAATAAGCCCCAAGAGCGAAGGAGCACGGCAGAAAAGACCAGGAGCACGGCAGAACAAACCCCAAGAGCTAAAGAGCACGGCAGAAAAAGATCAGGAGCACGGCAGAATAGACCCGAAGAACGACGGGGTACGGCAGAAAAGACCAGGAACACGGCAGAATATACCCCAAGCGCTAAGGAGCACGGCAGGTAGAACCCCAAAACGAAGGAGCACGGCAGAAATAATCATTATCTGCCGTGCTCTTTTGTTTCGTCCGCCGTGCTCCGCCCGATGTGCTAAGGATGGCTGCAGCGAGAGCACCATGTTTAACATGAGAGGCAGTAACACCGCCTCTCCAACATATCATTTGTTTGTGGGGATGTCTCAGGCGATACACCAGTTTTTGAACATGTGTCAAATTCGCGACTTCCCAAGTTCGGGGGGTGTCTCAGGCGAAACGCTTATGTTTGGCAAAACCGGTGTTACGAGCATATCAGTTTTGTGAGGATGTCCCACGCGAAATCACATGTTGGGGGGGTCGTCGCGAGGGCATCCTGGGGGTCAGATTGGGGCTCGTTTGGGGCCATTTGGGGCCGTCCTGATGTCCTCCAAAGTCAGTGCAGTGCGATGTTAGACACACTGATTGTGTGAGGATGCCCCTATCGAAATCGGTGTGCTTATAAGGCTGGCTTAGACCATCAGGAAGCATATTTCGGAAGCGATTTCAAGACGATGTTAGAACAGCAGAGTTCAAAACGATGTCGCTGCATGGCTTAATTCTTCGAAAATGTCCCCAGCGAAATCGTCATGTTCGGCAGTCTCCAGGGCGCTGGTGGAGCGTCTTGGGCTCCTTTTTTGGGCTATCATTTTTCATATTGCGGCACTTCGAGAACGATGTCGAGGAGATGTTGCGAACAATTCATTGTTTTGAGGATGTCCCAAGCGAAATGATCAGTTTCTGCCGTGCTCCTCGTTTCGGTTTGTCGCCCCCCCGAGTGTCTGAATATGTCCCGAGCGAAAGCGCAATATTATGAGAAGTAACGAAAAAGTTTTTCCAACATGCCCTTGTTTCGAGGATGTTTCTGGCGAAACGCTCATTTTCATGCACATCAAAACCCTTGGCAGTTTCAAACATCTCGATGTTCTGAAGATTTCTCGAGCGAGAACGTCATGTGTAACAGAAAACGTCTTAAACGATAGCCTCCAACATCTCCATGCTCGGAGGATGTCTCAAGCGAAATCGCTGCTTGGGGGAACCTTTCTTGACATGAAAGGGAAGCGCGTGCAATCAAAGAGCTTGGCAAAAACGTGCACCAACATCAAGTTCGCATGTCGCGTAGGCGCTCTTCCCAAACGTCCACAGGCGGTACCAGGTGGACTTCGCTATCCGCGCCAATTCAGACGCGCTGCTGGAGGCGGTGGCAGGGGTCGTGGTGGGCCCCCCGAAACGGCTTGAGCATTAACAGAAACGGCAGCACGGCAACGACCCCGAACGCGTTGATCGAGGGAGTCAATTCTTGTGAACTGGGCCCCGCATTTGGCACACTGGAGCGAGGGGTCTGCGTCGGTGCCACCCCCGTCATTTGTTCATGGCGTTGGCGGCCTAGGTGGATGTTGAGAGCACGGATGTTCTGAAACTCAGGATTGCAGATGCGGCAGCGATGGTTAACCTCATCAGGACCTCCCTCACCATGGCCCCCCGCTCCTCCGTCACCTCCTCCACCCGCGGGCCCTCCAGGGACCCCTGCGCGATAGTGTTTACGTCGATCCTCTACCGTCGAGCTGAAACTGCGGACCATAGCGAATCGACCCTCAGGGAGCTCTAGGAACCATCTCAAGAGCCCGGGGGATAACGAACCCAGGAGAGCAGGTTGACATTGCATTTCTGGCAGAAGAGCAGCGAACAAGCACGCCAGATCAGTAAGCAATTGCCGGCGGCGGTCGGTTGTTCCGCCCGCCCGTTCAAAGGATAAGGTACCCAGCAAGCACGTGCTCACCGCAATCGGGGCATCATAGGGGGCAGCCGCAGGCTTGAAGATGGGCAAGAGCATTCCCCATCCACCACAAGGGTCGTCGGTAGCGCAAGTCAGACTGGATGGTGTGCACCTTGAGCCAGCGGCGCACCTCCTCGTTCGTAGTCGCTGTCGCGTGGGCTGGAAGCTTCGCCGCACTGCGGAGCTTTGTAGCTTGCCACCGTTCCAGATGGGCCAGGGCCCCGTCGCTCAGGACACATGCCTCTAGACCGCACAGGGCGATCGCGCGCACCAATGAGAGCCAGTCGCACACGGAACTGAAGAAGGATGAAACCTTCACGAAAGACTTTGGTGGCACGGCGAGCGCGAACAACGTTCGCCTCGCGACCGCGGGCCTCCGCCGTCGCGCCGCTCCGCCCAGCGGCTGGAATCTGAAGTCCCAAGTACTGTGCTGCACCCTGTGGATGGAGAGGGCGTCCGTCACACATCACCCCCGTGTAGCGATATCCTTGTTGAGGCCTCTGGGGCTGCGGCCAGCAGCCACTGCAACGACCTCCGTCTTGGGCACATTCACGTAATAGTACTTGGCCCGCAGCACTGACGCGATGAAGGTAACGGAATTGGCGACATCCGTCCAGCATTCGAAGACAGCAAGCGCGGTTAGGTTGTCAACAAAGCACACGCGGGATACATCGAGACATGCGGTGACGTCCTCGAGGTCCAGGGTGGCAGTGATCGGCGGGATGGCGCGCTCCTCCTTGGCAACGCGAAGCGCTGTGAGCACGACATTGTACGCTATGATGAACAGGAGCGGCCCTTCGACCGAACCCTGTCGGACCCCCAGTTGGACAGCTAGCTTCGCCACCACTCGGCCTGACTTCGGGCCCTTAAACAAGTAGCAGGCGCCGTTGTGCAATTCGGAGCACGGGAGGGTGAACCCAGCAGACTCGACCAGGCGGTGGACCTCGGACCAGATGGCACCCCTGGGCAGAAGGTCGAAGGCCTTCTCCAGGTCAACCAAGACGCCCACCATAATGTTTA